GTTGCGAAATGTCCACCAACTACATTTTGCGTTGTATGTATCAAGTTTTACCTCACAATACTTACCATATAGTTTTAATGGAAAGCTTACTTCAACTGCGGAATTCTTGCCAAGTATTTTTGTGAAGGTAGCTCAGTAAGGTTTTATGCTCGTGATTGAATTGTTAAGAAGAGGGAAAACAGCCACCAACAGTAATAGCAGGCGTTAGAGTCCACTTGATGTTTTGTGACTTGTAATAGACATATTATATAAGGTCCATACGGTTTTAGTATTATGCAATGAGAAGATCAGGTAATTGACGTTGAGAACCTATAAAATATTGTTTAGATACATCAAAATGTATGGTATTTTGAATATCAGAAAGCTTAAAAATATCAGGAAACAGTAAAATGGAAACAAGATAGTCTTCAACAATTAAGCTTTTTGTTTATCTTAGCACTGTGGAAAACTGTTTTATCCAGTCAGGTTGCTTATAATAGTTATGACTGCTGATTAAAATTGTTTAAAACTACATTCATGTCATATATGTTTATCAGTCATACACAGTATGCGTTTTTTATAGCCATTTAGCCTTTAATTAACTGTCTTTTTATATATTTCATCTTAAAAGAGTTTTGATAACTGAAGTTACTGGTCTCTACTTTAAGTACCTTGTTACTCGTCCTAAACGTAAATAATACCCAAACTTTCTGAAGTATCTTGTTTGTTGATTCTGAAAAAATAGTTTGGGAACCTAAAGTTCATTTTAGCGTGTTCCGTGTTTTCATGGTTTCACCACTTAACTATCGTATGATATCTTGATGAGGTTTGTAACTTTGATATTTCAAGTCAAAAATAAAATTTATTAGTCTAGATAGTTTAAATACTCGTATTTGTTTGGTCGCTCTATCCCTTAAAGACGCTCGAGACACCTAAAGTAAAATTAAAATAAACATTAAACTCATTCTTTAATCAGTTAAGTGATGATTTATTTGAAGATCTCTAAATGGGATTGTTGTTTGCGATATGAAGTGACAGTATTTTTAATATGATTTCTGGTTTGAATTGTCTATTTGAACTTGTTATGTCTCACAGTAATTGCTTAAAAACGGCTTTTCACCTTTGCGACCACATGTTCACGGTTGTGGGCTCATAATATTCTGATTTCTCTCAGTTATTATTATGTATAAACTCATGTGATCTTATTACTTATCTATTGTATTCATAATTCGTATTTCGTGTTTTGTTAGAGTCAATTCAAAGGAACTTGGGTGTGTATCTCCTTCTTGGAATTCGTCTTTTGAAGGCATCCTCTATTGGAAACAAAAAGTAGATTCGCGATTAAAGCGTGGCTGTAGTAAGTCTTGATTGGCTATAAATTACTTTCCAGTTTTTTCTGAACACTGGTGCCGGTTGAAAGGAAACATTTTGATTCTTTGCCGTTCTCCCGATAGAACGAGCAATGAAGTCTCAGGTGTGGTACTGTTAGAGCGTTTCACTGTGTCGCGTACTAGAGATGAAGAAATATCCTACTCATTTCGTTTGGGTAACTTTATGGTTCAGAGTTAAATGGCTTGCACAGATTTCGATTCCGGTGATAAACCTCTTGTATTTGTCGCTCGTTCTGAAGATGAGGCAGAGAAGTGGTGTCATCACCTTAACAAGGCACAACTGGCACCTAGGTTGCGGCGTTTTACTTTGCTTCGTGATGAAATACGGAGAATCACAGGATCTGATCCACTAGAAGCTGGATTTTCTAGTAATTCAGTTACCCCACCAACTATCGTTGAGGAAGGTAATTGTGTATATTTTATGAGGCGATGTTATTGTGTGGATCGATGAACTGATTTTTGTTTATTTTCATTTCAGGTTCATTGAATGACGAGGGACTTGAAGTTATGCTGAGTAAGTCTACTGATCTATTGTCATAATTAACGAAGTGCATTCAAAGATGCATTTAACTTCGTGATTAGTTTTTGTTATTTTTCGTAAGCGGTCTTGAAACCAGGGATCCCAATCGATACCTAATTGTTCTTCTTTAGATGGTCTACGTATATTCAGTAAAATTAGGTAATAATTATTGAGATGCAAAGAATTTTTGTACATTTTAAGATTTTTTAAAAGAGTGTTTTATATCACTTCACTTTTAAGACGTTCTATTTAACTGGCTAAACAATATATATTGTCTTTGTAGCTATCAACTGACGTTATCTAGATATTATTCAGGTTGTTTGTAACTTCTCGGTGTTTTGAACGTTTTGGTGCAACTGAAGACTGATTGCTACAGAAATTTATCTACTGTTAGTAGGTCCATATATGTAGACTCAATCGTTCTATTTAATTCATCATTCCATCAAATTCAGTTATTGATTGACGTAGAAATTGATCTTTCATTTGTTACCACATTTGGACTAAATGTATAGATAGAGATGTGGAGAAAAATTGATTTTGTGCTACAATACGATTCTCTTAATGGATCACTATTCAGTTTTCGGTCCTTCATGATAGTTAACTTCCAATAACTCAATTTGGGAAAATCTTAGCTACAACCCATGCAATAACAACATTAAGGCAAATAATCCAAACTGCTTTAAATACAAACCGTACCATAGTTCTAACCTTTATGGACTTAACTAAAGCTTTCAACACCATACCTAAATGATAAATCTTAGACATACTAGCTAAAACATGCCCATCTAACAATATAAACTCCCGTATGGCTAAACTACTAGATAACCCTAAGGGTTATCTAAGGAACACATAATTAAGTTTTTCAATGTATGGGAGAGTCAGGCAGTGCAGTAAAGAAGGTCCCGCTATCTTCAACTTAGTCTTTTAAAATATATTAGCACAAACTATAGATAAAACTTCGAAAGGGGTGACTCTAGAAGATCAGCATAATAGGACTTAGATAATTAAACACTTAGAATATTCTAATGACTTGTGTCTAATCACTAATACTACGGAAGAGGCTACTAAAGCATTAAACAACCTACAACAGCAACTAACTAGCATTGGTATGAAGATATCAATCTCCGAAACGAAAGTTATGATAATAAATAAGAAGGACAGCTTATCAACTGTCAATATGGACAAAAAAGAGATATAGAAAGTAGAAACCTTCCATTACCTTAGCTCCACTATAATTAACAAAGGAACCCCAGATAACGCTATGACCTATAACGTAGAAAAAGCTAAAACTGAGATGATTAAGACTAGACCAGTACTTAAATCTAAAGAACTTAGTCTTAATACTAAAGTCAAACTGGTGGATTCTCTAATAATACTCATTCTTACTTAAGGACTAGAGTCCATAGCACTAAGAAAACGAGACTGGACTAGATTAGAAACGGTTCTCTACACAGTAAGACGAATGATCTTAGTTTTAGTCGATAGAAAACAATTTACTATCGAACAACTTAAACTTAAAATAAACTTGCCTAACAGCCAATAAAATCATGCAAAAGAGACTAAATCTATGGTATACTGCACACAAAAGACCAAATAATCTAATGGTGAGGTCTCCAAATTGCAACTTTAAAAATCCATGCAGAAATAGAAAAGCCCATACTAAAGATTGGTTAAGACAACTACATCAAGGCATTGAGGAAATGGGCGAACGACTACCTAAAAACTAGATAAACCAGCCCAGCAAGGTTAAAATTTATGCATACCAGGAATATTTTTCCAAGATAATAGGAAAATACCGACTTAATCACATGTATCAAAATGAAATTTGCAATAGAAAGTTTGCTACAATTAAAGAAATGAATAGGCATTACAGAAACGACCACCAAAATAGACCTAATATTGAAGCCCTTTACAACTGTCCTCTAACTGACTATAACAAGACTTATAAGACATTGGGCTGGCTTAATAAACATATCCTATCTTGTCATCCCGAATACAATCAACCTATAATGGAAATTAAAACTCCAACAAATGAAAAACTCCCTAAATAACCTAAATAAATATCCATATTCAGGCTGTAAATAGACCCTAACAACCGAGAAAGGAATAATCAATCATTGCTATGTAGTACATAGGTGGTCAGCAATCACCAGACAGGAAGTAAAACCAAGGACGAACAACCGCAAAAACAACTATTGAGCCCCGGAAGTTTTGCCGTGCTTCGATGTAGCCTCTTCCCCAGTACGACAGGAACCGCAGGTTCAGATAATTCGTATATGTGCCAGGTCGATAGAACAATGGTATGAAGCTACCGCCATAGTATATATATATATATATATATATATATATATATATACTGATATTTCCATGAAAAAGCTTGAACCAGATTGTTATAGGGACTCATTTAAGAAAAATACAACCAGAAGGGGTTCTTCGAGTTAAAGAATTTACTCTTACTTTTATGAAGAAAGTTACAGAAGGGTTGACACTGACTTCTATTCCGAGACTTACTTGAATGCATGGAGTTGTTGAAAATGTTTCGATCAATTTTTAAATTAACAGATATTTATGTACTCTAGCTCTCATATCCTACAGTAGTTTGGAAAACTTAAAGTTTGTTGATTTCTCATTATGGAAGAAAGTGTTCATATTCCATATCTAATCTTGCTTTGTTACTGATCTGTATTGTTCTTACTAAAAGTATCTTGTGATTATGTTCAATTTTAGAATGCCTGAATGTTGGAGATATGGCACATCCTAATGAGCTTCCTAATACTTGTCTCTTTGTTTCTGTATCAACTTCACTGAAGAGTAATTGGACTCCAATTGGGGCAACTGAGATAATTGAAGTAATTTGTTCGATTAGTAACTTCCTATTACGTTTTTTCTTAATTTTTTTACTTTACGTGCAAGTGAAAAAACAAGTAGGAATCTTGTTTGTTGATCAAACTGGATTTTATGAAAATAGCTGTAAAATGATCAAAAAGTGAATTATTTCAGTACTCATAAACCAGTTTGTTTTTTGTTAAGATAATTCGTTTTGATTGCCATCTGAGTGCTTTTATTTATCTTCGAGTTTGGTCAGACTTTCCGTCAGATCATTACGAACATTGCGTATAGACCATTAGTATCGTATTTCATCTTCGTTAGCAGTGTCACATCCGTGCTATAAACTAGTAAACCATTGTGATGATTGATCAGTGAGTTTGTGTGCTAAGGTAACTGGCTAAATAATTCTTCGCTAAGCATATTAATAACTCTCCATGATATATGCAAAAGTAGTGTATAAGCCTTTTCCTAATAAATAAAACTTAAATAAAGTATACTGGGCAGGTAATCAAAAGTGAAAATGGGAATCATCTAAAAGGCAATGAAATTAAGAATATTAAATCTAGTGTTTACCATCCAAAGGGAACCTACATCACATATTTTTATTAAAACTTGACAATTTTTGAGTCTTTAATAGTAGTTAGTTGATATATAGGTATGCCAATGAACTTAGATACATGGCAATCTAATTAAAAGTTATTAAACGTTTTGAAATGCTGGTAATCTATCCAATATTCCTGTTCCAAATGACTGTGATTTGCGTGATATTATACTTAGAATCAAATTGATAGATTTCCAACGAAAAATATTAGACTTATCAGACAAAAATGGTCTGATTCTTATTCTGTATTTTTCATATCATCTTCAGTGTATTTCATGTGATTTCATCAGTCGTACGTCTAGCTTGGTATTCAATTTTAGCGATAATTTAGTACTAAAAATCACATCTTGGTGTAATAAGCTTGTATGTTCTCATCAAATATTTCATCAATGACGTCTAGTTTATACAAGTCACTATCCTGGTAATGAACCGCGATAAATTGATGGAATATGTCAATTTATTTCCCCATTTCCTTATTTTTCCTTATTTTTTTCGTATCTTCTAAAAATTAGAACAACTTAAATGCAAATACTTGTCAATCTAGAGGTTACAGAAGGATCAAGCAAGCAACTTGTGTCACATTTATGTTGTAATAAAATTTTAAAAGGTGGCAACTGTGTATTCCTTAAGAATTCTTATGGATTCTGTAAGTGATATCTCGTTAGGTTGATTAGTTTACTAATGATATTTAAAGAGTATTGTTTTAAATCCAGAAAAAATAAATGTGATAGAAATATATGTATTGGTAAATATCTTCACTTCAAATTAATAATTCATATTATTAAGACTATGTCAATATTAGAATATAGATTTTGGCCATGTGTTTGATGGAACCTAGTTAATTATTTCTATTATCGTCACGCTGAAATAATTAGAAAACTGAAATTTAACAACCCCTTTCTCGTATTGATGTCTCAACTATTGGTTTAAATATAAAATCGCCGTATACATATGTCCAAAAATGAAGAATATTTGAGCGAACAATTGTTTTCAATAACTTCATCATCAGGCTCTACAGTTATAAGTCCATAATTATAATATTTTACAAAGGCCAAAAATAAGTCGTGTATTAATGAATTTGCATTTTCATACTATTATACTTATGGTGACTGAACACTTTACTCCAAATCATCCTGACCTTTATTGAATGACCTTTCTAATTTGTCAAATAATACAATTTTGAAGTATATATATATCGTAACAGATGCAAACGTTTACCATTTTTAACACGTAACATTGTCAAATTCATTAATACACGCCTTATTTTGGACTTTGTAAAATATTATAATTATGGACTTATAACTGTAGAGCCTGATGATGAAGTTATTGAAAACAATTGTTCGCTCAAGTATACATATGTGTTTACTTACTCTCTGTTTTGTACTTTTTTCTTTTTGATTTTGGATAGAAATTTCTTATGGAATAAGCTGGATGTTCCTAGTTTGATAGAACTTTTCAAAGTAAAATAATCGCAATAATGTCCAACAAATGTTTACTTGTAACAAGTTCATTAATTGACGTTAGTGAATTAAGTAAAAAATGGTCACATGAGATTTTTGACAAATAATTTTCCCTACTGACAACTTTTCACTTTAAAAAAATTTTGGTGTAATTTGCCTTGTTATTTCCAAGTTTATTGATCTTTTTATTAGATAATTGTTGTTTTAAATATCCATGAGTACCTAACCATTTCGGTATCTGAATTTTTGACTTTTTTAATTGATCCCTGTTTCTTGACCCGGTTAAGTTTGTTTTTTGTCTATACTTACTCATACACGAGTTGATATCACAGTTTAGTAGATAATGGTTAGATATATTTTAGTTAATACAGTTAGTACATATTCGTAACATTTATTTCAGTAGGATAAATTTCTCTTAACATCACCATTTCCCAGCCGTTGGTTCTATTATTTTAGATAATATGTAAGAGCTTAAGAGGTTTTTACTTCTCAAAATGATTATCTCTAGAAGTATCTAAATTTAATTCATTGACCTCACCATACTGTACCAAACCAATCCTTCATTTACCTATACAAAACACTGTTAGTTATACAGATAAAAATTACCATGGTAACATAGGTTAATAGTACCACATTATTGTTTAATGTTAATGCTTCATTTTAGTCATAAAACCGTTTTTTCAAAATAACTATTATTGTGTTGTTATCATTGCATATTTAGTGCTCTCGTAACCCAATTTTTTCGAAAACAATATTTCTGCGCCACGATTTAATTGATGAGAACAATTCAATACGATTCAGTTTATTTGATATTAAAGATGTAAAATCAAGTGTAGTAAGTTAGTTAATCTTTTCATTTTATGCAAATATTTACCACAGAATTTTAATTGGGATCATGAACTGATTAATGTTAGACCATTATTGAAAGCCAGTGCTTCCAGAATTTCAATGGTGGTCTAACATTTATCGGTCGATGATCTCAATTAAGAACTCAACAATCTCCACAATCTTATACTGATTACTACAGATTTGTTGGGAATGCTCAAATTGAATACTTGTAAACATGTTATTGTGATTTTATTTCACTTATTTAACCATTGTCAATAGTATACATTATTTAATATTGTCTACATTTTATCGTCTTCATTGTGAGAAGTTTATGTTACATAGCAAACAACTAACTTTATAGATAAGTGACATTCATAATACGTAAAGGAAATATGAAAGACTAAACACAACACTTTACTGTGATAAATGCGAATTGATTTCATTATGTAATATGTTACTAGACTTACAATGATTGTCCTTCCAGTGAAATTCAGTTTTAAATTTTGATATAGCTACTTAAATGTTATTCTGCTTTGAGTTGTATTAATCTGTTTTTTCTAATTGGATTGGTTGTTTATTATTTGGACTTAATCACTAAACAGATTTTAATTACTTTTTCTTCGAATTTTCGGATTTTATTTAGAGCGCTTTAATCGGTGAAACAATTACAACAATAAAAGTATTATTGGATAGTTCATCTCTTCTGTTCCCATTACGTGATGATTGTTCTCCAATACCTGTGAAGTATGAGGGTTTAGAGACGACTTTTCCATCAATAGTTGTGCAATCAAGGAAACAGAAGCCATTAGATCCCACGGCAGCTAAGGTAATGCATAATATTATCTCTTTTCATGCACTGTTTCTTTTGCTCTGTTGTCTACTCAAGTACTCTGAAAATAATAAGTGATTTTTGATTTTTTTTTGTGTATGAACTGTTATGACGGGCATACACTCGAATGAGTTAGAATCGAGTGTATTTATTTACTGATTTATATACTAAACATATTGTGTTGAATAATGAGTTGTGATTATATAGTCTCTATCCCAATGTTACAATGAAGGATATTTTGAATTTTGTGTTGGAAAATTAAAAATTAATTCACTGAATGTTTTTAAACTTGTTCTAGGTGGTTTTTAAGCAAAGATGGATAGCGGCTAGCAGTGGAATCCAGGACGCGTGTTTCGTCCTATTGGGGACTCGTCAGTTGGATGTACCTGCATCCCAGAGTTGATGTTCACTCCGGGAATCGAACCCAGTACCGTTTGCTTCAAACACTATCGCATTATCCACTTAGCTACTGAGTCCTGTTAGCCACCTACTTGTGCAATGAGGTGAAGTTTAAATTCACTTGGTGTTGTTTTACTGTTGTTTTCATTGCTAGCCATTATCCATTTTTGCTTAAAAAACTTGTGACTTAAGGCTATATCGAGGCGATCCACACAGGATGCATATATGCCAACACGAGACTGATCAATTGCAGTCCTAAATAACAATGGGAAGATACAAGTAAAACAATAAGTGAAATTGTTTTAGGTGGTTTCTTTATTTTATTTGCACAAATGTTCTCTTTTTCAATTCATTTATTCTATATGTGCTACTACTTGTTAACATAATGAAATGCTTTTTCCGCGTTCAGTAAGTTTCCAAGATAATTTGATAGTATTTTGATACTTTTAAGTATCTATTGTTATTTCCTCAAGCAAAATAGATACATGTTGGTAGATAAGATTTTAATCAGATCGTCCTTTTTTCAATATAAAAGTACAATCATCACGCAAATGTTATTCATTTACTATCAGTATATCTAATGTAGACGTCAAAATTTCTGAATATATCAGTTGTTAGCACTTGATAGTAATATGGAATTCTCACGTTTATTATTTATAATAATATTTAGTTAATACTTTATAAATCGATTTATCAATCACATGTTCTACGCAACTTTTAAGTCTTAAAGCAATTGGTTTCTTTTATAAATTTCGATAGAACAATGAGAAGACGGGGTTGATCTGAAAAATGTGATGTATTTGCGCTATACACTTCGAACAATCTGGTCATATATTTGTCAGGACATTTTATATGAAAACTAATAAAGGTCAATTAAATGAAAGTTCAAGTAAAAAAGATAACAAAGGGGAGAGAAACAATTTCACATCGTATAGAAAGAATAAGAAATTGTCGCATAATCCTAAGCCATAAAAAGTCTTAGTCGAATTAATTATTTGTCAATCTGAAGGCGTTTTGTGGAGACTTTAGGAATTACAATAATCACAATTGATTGATCACTGGGTGGTGATCAATGTCATGCTTGTCTAATCCTTATTAGTGCAGATCGAATGCTATCGATCATGTTGCAATGTGGCCACCAGTCTAGGTGACTCGACACTGCGGGCACTATGTATTGAGATTTAGATGGTGGTTGGAGGTAGTCAACAGGAAACCCTGGACCCGGGTTTCGTGCTACTTGACACTCGTCAGCAAGGTGTACCTGTAATCTTGAGGGAACTGATGCTCCCTGGCGGATTCGCATTCGATCTGCACTAATAAAGACTAGACAAGCATGACATTGATCACCACCCAGTGATCAATCAATTGTGATTACATCTCAGTCCTACAGGAGGTTAGTCACGGCTCGGATAGCTCAGTGGTAACGTCTCTGACTGTGAAGCCGGGTGACACGAAATCGAATCTGCCAGGGAGCACCAGTTCCCTCAAGATTACAGGTACACCTTGCTGACGAGTGTCAAGTAGCACGAAACCCGGGTCCAGGGTTTCCTGTTGACTACCTCCAACCACCATCTAAATCTCAAGGAATTACAATAGCTGAAATCGTGAGTCAACTGAAGCTAGACTACCATGGAAAACCTGGAAGCACTGGATGGCCGTCTCGTCCTAGTATGGGACTCAGCAGTGCACATCCTCGATCCCGCCCCCTGCGAGATTCGGACCCAGGACCCATAAGTCCCGCGCGCGAGCGCTTAACCATTAGACCACTGAACCGGCATCCAACGGTGTTAATGTCTAACCTCAACCAATCCACAACATTACGCCACCGTACGCCATTGTCTTCTGTGAGTGAGCGCTCGCGCGCGAGTCTGATAGGTTTTAGGTTTGAATCCCGCGGGGGCTGGGATTTTGGATGCACTCTACTGAGTCCCATACTAGGACGAAACGGCCGTCTAGTGTTTCCAGGTTTTCCATGGTAGTCTAGCTTCAATTGACTCATGATTTCAACTTTTGTATTTGTCAATCTATTAAAATTTGAAGTGTTAAACTAACAAAAATTATACGTTAGTGATTCTTAACTAATGTGATTATGTACACATTATTTTTTTATTATTAACATTGATAATCAACTATTCATTGTAAATTATATGTTTTGTATTTCATTTAGTGTTTACACTATATTGTTTCCTTTCATGTCTCTCTACAAAAAATTATTTTGTTAATTAAAATCAATTGCTGTCTAGTCAAATTAAAGAATAACAATTATAATCTTATACTATGGTTGCTGTTCATCTTTTTCTGTGTACCAATGGGTAGCACTACTTAGGTGCCCATATACAGCATGGTTTAAATATGCAACCTAATGGTTAAAAAATACAAGTGTTTTATTCACTGAGCCTCTATTTTCGGTGATTGGTTTATTATCGTTGTTTGTAACAGATTTGAATGCCAATCCATCTATTAATATAAGCAAATAAGAAACAAATTGGTTTGTGGTGTTGGAATGTCTAGTATATATATATATTATCTGTCAATTTCATACCATATGCAATATACCATCACGTATTTCATGGATCTCAATTAAAAATTTTCCCATTGTTTCATAACTTTAATTACTTTGATCTTGTGTTGATGGTGTCGTTTGCTTGACAGAACTTATTTTTTTACAGTTTATTAAACCGATATGTACATGGTCACTCTATTATATTACTGTCATGAATATTCTGAATTTTGTATTGTGAATTAATCGTATGTTTGATTATTTTTCTAGGTTGATGCTAATATGTTGTCATTACGTTCAGTATGTGATAATCTATTGTCTAAACGATATAAATTCCAAGATTCAATCGGTGAGACAATGCATATTATTGAATTTATGGGCGAATCAAAGTTATGCTATGCTTTCCCGATAGAATATCTGTAAGTTTAAATTACTAGTATCGTTTGTTGCTTATGTTTCACTCAACACTGTCAATTTGTTATGGTCAAAATATGTAATGAAGAGGTCAGTTATTTGACCCTTTTTCTTAATGATTTACTTTTATTGATTAGACAATGCATAAATAGTTATAGATGGTCGTTTTGAAAATATGCTACTATTAATGATCAGAGAGATTTAATTTCATCATTGTTTCCATTAAGAGTTATGGAGTCAAGACTCATAGTATTGTTTTTTTTGGAAATATAACCTAATATTTATGACCAAGAGAGGTTACTACAAATGTTTATCACTTATGTCGTTAATTATAATCTATAGCTTTGATAATTTAACTTCAGTCTATTTCGGAGGGATAAGGCCTGGTACTGAAGTTAAAAATGTATATACATAAATAATGATGTGATACGCTTTCTATATATAGCTATTAATAAAGTGGATTCTCCCCAAAAGGCAACTTAAATTTCTAAGTTTAAAACTACTCTTTTATCCACTTGTATTTTTACGCAGAAACTTAAAATTTGATGAAATGAAATAATTTAATGTCTTCACAGTTTGCAATTAGTTCTTTTATGAAGAAGGTCCGTTTATTCTAAGTATTGTAGGAAGCCGAGATCTTTGACTTGATCAAAACTAACTATATAATTTTCGATATATTATTTAGATAAAATCAATTGATAGCTATTACTGCATAGTCGAGCGACATTTTCAACGTTATTAGCAAGCTAAGATTGGTTATAAGCTTTGTAGAACTAAAGTATTAATCAACTATTTTCCTATAGGCAGAATACGTACATGTACATAACCGTAACTAATCTAGTAGTGAATAGTATTGTGATGATTATGTTGTAACTATATTATAAAACCGAGCCAATCAAGATGAAGATATCGATTCAAAACGCAATGTCAGCTAACATTCTTTCATAATGTGAGCCCGTGTTACATTATCATGTTGTGCACAAATGTTTAAAAGTAATCTTGTCATATATTGAAATTTCTATTCGCGAGTTTGCTCTGATTTAGATAAGACTTTGGTAACCCACCATTTTGTACAAGTGTCATAGCATAGGTTATGCACAAAGATAATTTCAATATGAATGTCTGTGCTTTTCTCGAACTTAGTGTAGAAATCAAAGGTATTTAGAATATATTTACATTAATATTCTTTTTTATATTTTTTATAGAAAAACTTTAATTCAGTCCGAATATTTGATATATGACTCTTTATCTCGAACTGGATCTGTAAGTTTCGTTTTAAATTTGGGATTTAAAATGTGTGCGTCATTAGTTTCTATATATCATTCTTTAATTTTGGTAAAGCAAGGAAAACACTCACATTCAAGATGTATGATGAACTTTGATGACAGAAAATAATATAGTTCGTGGAAGACAAATATCATGTATTTTTTGTTTATAAATCTAGGCAGTATTTTACCATTTTTGTATTCGTTTATATCACGGTTATATCACATTTTGATATAATCAATCTACCTTGAACTTCGTATGTATTTTTCGTAATGTGGATTTGTAAGTCATGTAATCATTATTATAAGGTCAGATATTATGTAAATTGTTGTGTCTTATAGACGACTAACCAAAATAATGTGCTAAATCATCAATCAGATTCTCGATTTTAATTTGATCGATTTCGCGTCTGCCATTACTCAATGGCTTGGTGTCTCTGTCGTGGCCAATTACTCGTCCGACCAGCACTAATAATCTGAGTCAACAGCTATGCTCCTACCGGCTTACTATCCGCAATTTTTTATCATGGCCTGTCTTTGGGTCCAGAAGTCAACAGTCAACCTGTTCTATACTAGATTTATATTTTAAAAACACGTATTTTACATACAAACATACCGGACTGAATCATACTATAAAATCGAAAAATAACGGTTATACATAAAGAAGCACAAAGTGGTAATGGGTAGGAGAGATTGCAAATAATAGACTGGCAACAAATAAGGAATATTAGATTGTACAACAGTACTTTGTAGGTTAGCCGAATGCTTATGATAAAAGGAATATATATACATAGTAATTTTGTAACTTAATATACAGCAAAATTATAATTAATAATTCGGAAAATCATTTCCAACTTTTACAATATCTGTTCGGATCATAAGTCACATTGAGTCAGGAAAGAACTTATTAGAGATAAATAAATGATCAAAGCAAGACGTGTTTTATATCCTGCTTTCTGGGCAACAACTTTGTTATAACATGAGACCCAAGGATATCTAGGCTACGAAGTGCTTTCTCTCCAAAAATTATTCAGAAATTCCAGCATTTTCCAACTTACAGCTGTTTTTTCGTATAAGTTTTGTCGTAATTCAGTCCTTGTTGTTACGATTTGTAGTTCTGGTCGATACTTCTAGTGATGCTATATTTCTGTAAATAGGATGTTGTTTCATTGTAAAGCTCTCATTGTTCTGGGCAACAAAAATGAAAGCCGACCAAAAAGCAACCTTAAATACTGGATCGTAGGAAAGATACTAATTGTTTTTATGATAAAAGTTTATTTCTGTATTTCTTCTCTTTGTCAAAAAGTTACCTTCACTTTTTTTCACTGTTATTTTTTTGCCAGTCGAAACCTGTTATTGAAAGCCTACGAAAAGAACGAATGATTAGCATGAAACAAACATTGGAACAGTATGAAGCTAATTTAAGAAATTTAGTTGATTACACTGGTATGTGCTATATATATATATATATATATATATATATATATATATATATATATATATATATATAACATTGGAACGACTATATGTATTCACATTTACTCCTGGTTTTAAATAGGCATTCATGTATTTTGATTGACTGTTTTGTATTGACAGAAGAGTGTATATTGTTTTGCTGGGTTTTACCTTGTTGTTGTTTACTTCAGTCTGTTATTTTTTAGCAACAAAACACAGTGAAAGTACTATCAGTTTTTGCTGGAGGTAGCATACTTTTAGTTGGCGGTGTCATGAAAATTGCTAACAGATTAATTTTCCTTTGATTTCCTTTGACTAATCCATTTTAAAGTGAATATATCTGAATAAGTCGACCATACTTTATTTCCTAAGCGTCCACTTTATTTATGTCTAGATGTGTTGTGTGTGTAAGAGCTAGTAGTGATATCCAGCTGACTAAACTATATTTAGTGAAGTTAGGTTCGAATTCACCGTCCAAAGGTTAAAAATCAAATGTTTGGACAAGAAACACGCATCTCAGGTTATTGCTTTGTCTTTATTGTTAACAACGGATCTAAACTTCACTAACTGATTGACTGAGCCATACGAAATTCAGTGAAAACATACATTGGTGTAGTCTGGCGCTATTTTTCCCAATAGAAGAAAGGTATCGAAATATAGACTAAAAAACAATATAAGTATGCAGGTTATTGACTAGCATAGCGTAATAAAATATTCAATATACCAGTAGGATACAATGAGTGTATCTGGATATATTGTATGTTTCAATATACAAATTTTTTCGTAAACATATCCTCGGTGACTGAGCTAAATTTTCGCTACTTAAACAACCATAATGCAATTAATTATCTAGGTTTTCCAATGATGTTTTACACAGTGGAAGTTCGTATCCACATGTGATGGTGTAAAGACTGCGCAACACAGTCTATTGAACAAAAAGGCTTCAGGATTGTGTTTGTTATTTTTTATTAGCTAGATATAGATAAATCGGATTTCTGCAGTTGTATGTAATTTTAAGATTAATACGATTTTCTTTCTACTATTTGAGTGCATCGTTATTAAGGATTACCACTTTTTCAAATAAATTATCTTCTAGAAATTGGTGTATATTTCTATCAAACGAACAATCAAATTATTAATCATTCTTGCTCATCACATTAGTAGTAACTGTGTCTCAATTATCCCTACTGGCTTATTATTTGCATACAAGCGACTTTGAACAATAAAATTTTGATTTCTGAATAGATCTAACCTGGAAAACGAACTGTTGATAATAGTAGGGAACTAAATCTTAAAAAAATTCGAAAAAAAAAATTTAAGTGGAAATGTACGAAATAGTACTATATTCATGACCTAGAAGAAAAGGGAATCTGTAAAGTCCTCTCCGAGCTGCTTTTTATGGCCTCACCATGTATGCTACGGTCAGATCACAAATCCCGACTAGCGCTTATTTACCTCTGATTCACATAAGATTCAGCAATTTTGTGGATCGGTGCTTTTGTTTGGTTTATATTCTTGTTTTAACCAACCAGAAGCCCTGAGGTAACCTTTGGCCGAGCTTGCGAAACATGTTAGGTCATAAACTTATCAACCAGGTTATCAGTACCGTGTCATCCAAAATCACTATTAAGTAATTAGTACTTCTACCACATCACATCAGCTCACAAAGACACTTGTTGTTTGTTGAGCCATGTAGGTGGATGTGGCGTCCGTGTGATTGTCGTAACTACTATTCCATATTTTCTCGAATCTTAGATCCGATGCCTAATACTTTCCACTACCTCTAATACTTTTGCTGTATTCACTACTCAAGGATTTTTCTTGATAATTTCATCTTGTGCTAATGGGATATGACATCTTGTACCGATGTGCACATGTGGCAGGTTCTACGTTGTGTATAGCTGGATGATTGGTTGAGATATTCTTTTTCTCTAGTGTCTGTTTGTACTTATGCCTTGATTGTTTGAGCACCATTAGTGTTGAGCAACATTAGGTGTAAATCGTAACTGCTAAAAAATGTTGAGTCTGAATTTTCTGGTACTCACTAAACATATTCCACTTTTCAATAATCCTCTTTTTATTAACACTGCCGTCCATATTTCACATTCAACTTTCCATTTGTTTTATCTTAGATCAGTTTTGACAGCTGAGTTGAAATCAACTAGTATAACGTAAACCAGTATATAATTATTGTTAAAAAGTTATTTCAATTCAAGCACTACAACATATTCGTATAGATTTACTTTTTATAAATTGTTTTCAAAAAAATTGTTTGATTTGCAAAAAAACTTTACTGATGCTGTAGGTCCTCTATTCAAATCATCTAATGAACGTGCTAATCCTCGCTATGATTTTGTTCCGACCAATCTTCACGTGAATCAGATAGCTTTAACGGATGTAGACGGCCAACTAGGTAAGGCTGAAGAGTGTGTTACTGTTATTTTTTAGTTTATAATGTATCACGTGAGAAAAATAATATTAAAACTGGTATTTCTACTGTGATGTGATTCTTTGTACCGATTAGTTTTGTTTTCATCTGTTCTTGGAAATTAGCTATTATCGTAATAGACATAATTGATAATCACGTCTGCTATTGAAAGGCAAATTCTTCATTTATTGGTAGCTGAACAGAAATCATACGCTGATTGAAACAAAGTGGGATTCAGTTTCATCTTGAAGGTTTTGATAATTTAGCACTGTTAAGTTTGATTTTTACCTTCCTACCTGATTTAAAAGGCAGCGAAAAAATTCTAGTCTGTTTAGATTTGTGTCACAGATGTTATTAACATATTGAATTTAGCCTAAACACTGATTCCATAGGTTTTAAGCAATACTTTGGATCCCTACAGAATGTTACTACATTATTCAATAATGTTGAGTGGATAGGATGGGGGTCTTAAAGCGAATATATTCAACTGTTATTTCATAGGCTCGAACTCCACTCCACCTAATTCAGTTTGGGCGTTCCCTTAGTACCACTACCCCTCACGCAATTAAGATACCACTGAAATTTGAGTACATAAACATATATTGGGCAAGTGAGTATTGTAGACAGAACAATAAATCTTCAACGGAAAAACTAGTGATAGAAATCTCTGATTTTGTTTAACTTCAGTTCTCCGATCGACTGTGTAGATCTGCATCATATAATTCAGGTGACTTCTGGTCTGAAAGTAAGATTATGTTATATATAAGAAATGGATAAAGCACTCAGATCAGTCACTTTTCTAGCATAAAATCATGGATGTATTTCACTTCTTTGATATTTATTCGGAAGTAAAACCGGAACTAACTAGTCTGATCGTATGATGGGTACTTTATTAGCATATCAGTATTGGAAAATTCTGAAGCTGCTCAAACTATTGAGTATTCACCTTTTCCAGAAAGTGCTTGGGTAATTTTCAGGAGTGATGACTTCAATTAATACACATTAGTCCCCGGGTTTTATATATATATATCTATATTTTTTGAATCTGTTTATATTTATTAGGATCAGGAATATTGACTAACTGTATAATGAGTAAGACTATATGATATTTAAAGTTGAAACTATTTTGTTTATTCATTTTTCTTATTTTTAGCTTAATAAATAGTTGTTTATTATGCTAGGCATAATGATATAATTCATCAGGATTTTAATATTTAACTGTCAATCATTAGATGATGGACTCAATTTGTTTTCAGCACCTGAACTCATGAACATTATCATTAGGTTTCTTAGAATAGTTAGGGTTTAAAATATATTTCTTGATGCAATGGATCTACATTTGTTAATGAATTAATTCATATTATAAATAATAATAGAAATGAGTCATTAAGTTGATTATTCACAAATAAACAAGTAAGTACTGTATTCATTATCATAAATTCAGTATGTCATTTATACTTGATCAGTAGATGTAGATTTATTTTAATTGTTATAATTTCTGAGTTACTATTTTGTTGGGATGTAAACATCATTGTAGATTATTACACAACATTAAGTGGTAGTAATGATATTTTCTTCTTAAAATTCAATCTGGGTGTTTTCTCAATTTCAGTGGTCAGTTATGATAAATGTAATAGACCTTGATTTTTGTGTAATTAGTTTTTAAAGAAAAAATATCTTAGGACGTTTGCTTAATTGTGGAAAGAGAAGATAACTCGTTGAATTCCAGTAATACTGATATATGTTGTTTGAGATGTTTACCGAAATAAAATAAGTTTCTCTTAATTATTGAATGTTAGCTTAAGTCATATGGATAATTGTAGATTAGATCTATGAGGTTGATCAATAGTTGGAAATTTTCGACTTTATACATTGAACTGTAAATTAATACATTGACTGTATCTCACCATAGTTAATTAGTGTGCTATTCTCCTGAAGGTAGAAAATATTTTAGGTAATTGTGTGAAAAAAAGAATTATTATTGTTTATTATGTAGTTGTGTTATTTATAACGTGATCTTTATCTATAGAGCAATTAATATTATTTATTATGAACTAAATTATTCTTATTGGAACTAGTGTTTAATTTTTAAGTTTAGAAACCCACGCAGTTGTACATTATCTCAGAAGTAAAACAAAGTAATGAGTTAGTGAACCCATGAATATAGATTTAATTAAATTATTTCCATACAGGTTTAAGGTGTAGCACACTGACTGGTCATTTCTTACCCAATCAGCACTAGTGGACACTTGGAGAAGATTTTAGAATCTTCTTACGCAAAAACTGTAAATATACTAACGTCTCTCATTGTGATTCCTAGTTCCATCTACCCTTGCTATTTGGAATATAATTTCGTTCCTGTTCAACTGTGTTCAGATTTGGGGACTTGTCGAGTGAAGTATCCAAAACTACTAAGCAATAAGAGAAATTATAACAGAGATACACTGTGAAATTAGACCTAGAATGTGTCTGTTTTGAACGAGAAATTCACTAAAAGTATAAATGTGTTGTTTGCTATTTATTAGTTGGCAACGTTAATTAATCAGTCAGATTATAGACATATTCCCTTAATAACTTTTAGTGTACGAAAGTGAATGTGTTACTGACGATTGCTCATAAATTTTAACGTTAATATATTATTTTAGAATTTATTTATTTGAATACATAAATATTGGTACAAGGGGGCACCAGATATATATGCGCCATACGAATTAAGCTCTAGAGTATAAATCACTGTTTTAGTGATATGACTAAAAATAGTGTCAATTACACTCGTTTTTTACTTTACTGTGAATATAGAGTTGACACGTTCTGTGATTTTCCTTTTTCTGATTTCATTCGTTCCCTGTATATGGTATTTCTCATGTTTAGATTTTCATTTCAGTTAGTTATTACCCTATTTCTGTCCTCGTTTTATTAATTTTTCCGTCTTTCGTTGTCATGTTATGCCACAACTTATTTTGTATGTTATTTTTATAGTCGAACGACAAATCAGCCTACTTATATATCAGATTTTATGAATATTAAGATTTCTTGGTTTTTCCAAATGTCCAATTTATTCGAAATTTTCCATTCTGATTTCGTTTTCATTTGTCTGTTTCTTTCTTTTCTTTAAAAAATTCAGTTTCCTCGCATAATATAATATCTGTTGGTGCATTTTCATTGGCTTCTCGACGTTATAAATCTGGTGGTTTATTTCGGATGGCATTCGATACTATGATTACACCGACACGTACATATCCACCTTCAGAATTATCTTATTTAAATCTATCATCGGAATCACCCGTAGCTTCTGCTACATGTCTTTTAAATACAAAACCAATTGGTAAAGCTATGGATTTATTATATCGTGGAACACATTCTATTGCTTTATTAAGATCTGATTTAGCTGGTCTTATTCAAAGATTAAACGCACCTGGACAGGCTGAACCATTAGCTCAACGTTTGCAAAAAACTGTACGTTTTTAATAATGTTCATTTAAAAAAATATTTTTGAATATGTTTGTCTGTACATTCAATGAAGTAAACCTTTTCTCAAAATAACCCATTGTGCCATTGAATAGAAATGAGGAAAACTCAGCGAATAAAATGTTTTCGACGAAATCATTTACTTAAGCTGTACATTCGTACATTCAGACCGGCCTACCATCCACGGATAAAATCCTGTCTTAGGTCACATCAATATGCGTTTATAAATGTACTTACTCTTGTTGGACAGGTCAAATTGGTCACTTCCCAAACTGATTTCAGAACAATACCCGGCGTGGCTTTTCAAAGGAGAATGCGAAACAGTCACCAGTTCAATACAGGAGCACTTAATCAACTCTAGACACGTCGCTCCAAAGGAGTCTTCCTTTAAAATAATCCACATAATCGAAGGAACTGGGTCGAAGTAAGGTCGGATCAAAAACGTATGCACTACTGAGGCATTGGTGATCCCCCACTCCAAGCCTGGACTCTGCGCGCAAAAACGATACATCCAACCGCTCATCCTTCCTTGGCGCTAATTCCCTTCTGTAGTATGCTTCGTTTATTTTTTAAATTACTATCTTGTAATTTAAACCGTAATCACCTTTAACAATTTTCCATGATTATTATTCAGTTACTATTATGACCTTTATGGTTTCCGTTTTTCTTCATGTATGTCAAGCGGACAATTATCTTTCATAGTTTTGACCCGTAAATTCTTTTCATCATTATATTCTTATCTGACCCCCTGATTTTTACACAACTTCACTTAATATTTAAAATCTCGAATCACTTTATGATGTAATCTTTTCTATCTTTTTACAGACATATATTTATCAAACAACTATAAATATGAATATACAGCTTGAGTAAATGATTGCGTCGAATAAAAATTATTCTTCGGTGAATGCTCTTTCATTTCCTGGAGGCTTTATTTTAATATGTGTAAAGAAGTTCAATACACGTAGTCATGTTGTGCATTTTTCAGCTAAAAAATATATCGGTATGATTATGTAAAATAATAATTTCTAAAAAATATTCGGCCAATATGCTCAATTTTGCACCAATGTGATACACGCAAATGTTATTTATTGTGATCATGTGATGATCACCTCGCAGCAGGGGTGTTTACGAAATCTGGAGGACAAAAGCGTATGTTTGGCGCTTTAATCGGGTTGGTGGATATGGAGGATTCACCCAGGGGAGTTTGGAAACCCTAGTTCCAAACCAATGGTGCACATGGGCTCTAGGTTCCTGATGCAACAAAAGGCGTATGAACCTATTGTTGGTCACCGGCTACTATTGGACTGCATTTTCTAACGTCGCTCCACTGCCTTGTGGATTAGACCTCTAGGTCAAAGGCTCGGTTAATGGCCTCCTAATAAAACCACCTGCTTCGGTTTGGGTGCCCGTACAGTATTCCATCCCTCATGCATATCCAATGATTTATGTGGCGTATTTATATTTGGTGTTTAAATAAATGAATATGCTGTTATAAATGCTTTGAGGTGATTATAAACTTTAATAGAATTAATTATCATTAAACAAATGATTTTAGTTTCAGTTTATTTAAATAAATTAATTCCTTTATTTCGCTTTATAGGTATCTTCTATACAGTGGATATTTTCAGATAAATTATTATCTAACTTAAATGTTTTACCGGTTGTTTCATGTGATTTCGGAGTGATTATCACTTTACTTACACAATTATCATCAGTAGAAATAATGAAATCAAATTCTCAGTGAGATTTAATTTATTGTTATATTAACAATTTCTTTTAGTTTTTATTTCCATTTCACAAATCATCATTTTTAATGTTGTATTTTATTAATTGTTGATTACAATAATTGTAATTGTTTATTATTTAGTAAAAGGTTTAATATAAGAATTCAGTGTATTGTAAAGTCAATCATTGTAATAATAATAATATTTTCTTTACAATAACCATAAGTTATAGGCAAGATCAAATACTTACAAATGTTACGATATCCACTACAGTAAACAATTTCCCAGTTTGATCAACACGTTATAACGAAATTTTTGTTGTAGAAACGGGATAACACAAACTATTGGTGCATAAAAACACGATTATTGGGATTAAAACTAATATGTACTACGTGAAAGGTGGCACGTCATATGGATGCCTCATTACAAAGATGAACTGTTGGTTATATATATTGCACGTATATCACACAGCTGTCGTACAGTTGGAAAGGACAATTTTTTACGTATAGTTTGATGCTTCTTGTTGCTGCTCTCCAGGTAGCTACTATAACAGGATTTTTGTATAAAAAAAATTCTATCAGAAGTACGAAGCAAGATTACGTCGGCATCCCTTGATTTACTTGTTCTTCTCATAAAGTTTATTTATCCATCAATCGATGGAAGTCATTACATTATCCTCTTGATTCTTTAATATCATCGAAAATAAAAATCATACTAAATTCCTTGACTGATAGATTTTCAGCACTTATGAATTTGCGCATTATAGTGCTTGTAATCTGGCCATCAGTACGTTAACATGATTCAGCATTAATGATGTAATTTCTCAGTTGACTAAAAGTTATTTCCAGGAAAGATATATAACTGTTTTGGATTAAAGGAGCTAGTTTGAATAAAGCGCGCATTGCCTTTGTGTACTTTGTGTAGATGCTACTGAATTTCTTGAACTTTGATTTTTGGTTTAGAGTTTCACCACCTTTGACGTACTGGATGCAAATGTTAGATCCTAGCTCCAACTTGTAACAAACACATTTGTATTTTCACATAATCCATGTCCTTTTCATGTTCAACGTTCACAGCTCTATAAGAAGTTTATTGATTCAAAATCAACTATTCAGCTTTTGTAGTTAAATATCATTCTTAGTAATGTTATGTTAGTGATATTTCAGGTAAACACTCAATCTGATTTCAGTCTAACTGAAAGCTCGTTAGATTTATTAATCTCTCTATCTTTCATCTTCGTTTGAAAATGCATGACAATTTTCACTGTCAACAACTTATCGCCAGCTAATATATTAATTCGTTTTGATTAATCTTGACTTATCCTTTTTAACACTACAACTAACTTGAACAACAGTGTTTCCAATCAGTTTTAGTAACATTGAATTATAAATTCTTGATTATATTAGTTTCTATCCTGATTCGACATTCTTTTCTTCATAAAAAGGAACATTTTATCATTGTTTTTTATTTTATTCAAATGTAGACCATCACAACCCAATGATCATGTAATAATTATAAATAAAAAGAAAAATGAGTCTCGTGAAAATTTAATAGGTTCTTTAGATAAAGCTGGTCAAAATTATCCATTACTTTGGAACGTATATGGGAAAGTGCAGCATCAGTGCTATGGGATCATGTCTTGTCAGGTCTTGCAGATTTATCAAATCAACAAACTCTTTCTGTTAGTAAAGAAAGTAGTGGTAATTATTCTGATTTAATTGCTGAAGCAGAACGTTCCGCTTATCCCAATATGTTACCAATAAATGATAATGTACTTACTGCTGTTTCAATTATTCAAGATTCATTCAATTATCGACATCATGCATGTGTTTGTCAGGTAGATTAGCAGTAACATTATTTGATTTGTGTACTTTAGTAATTAACTCAATTCTATCCTCTATTATTTTTCATGAAAGTTATAACTTGAGAGATACAATTTAATTATTCTATGGTAGGATTTATTATGTACTAAAGTATATATATTTCTAGCGGTGAATCAGTTTAATGTTGGAAACATTCTTTATATACTGCTTAAATTCTAAAAGATTGAATTTATACTCAAGTTGGCCAGCTGATTTCTCCTAATAATTCACTAGCTACTTTATCTGAATAAATGTAGATATAGCATTGGATAGCATAAAATAAATAAGTTTTACTGTTTAGAAGTAATCTCTTGTCGCTCCCAAATGCCCTGGTACGACCAAGAGGCGGAGAGTCCGCTCTACCTCTCGAAATGCTCTCGCATGGCCACGCGTATATAGCCTCTGCCAGGGAAGTCCTACCCACTGCCTTCTCGTGGTGGGGGTATTGTTTACGAAATTGAGAGGACGAAAAGCGGATGTCCGGCGCTTTAATCGGGTTGGTGGACATGGAGAGTACACCTAGGGGAGTTGGAAAACCCTGATTCCAAACCAATGGTGCACATGGGCTCCAGTATCCTGAGGGAGCAAATGGCGTATGAACCAATCGTTTGTCACCGGCTAGTATGGGACTGCATCTCCTTACGATGGTCCACTGCATTGTGGGTCATACCTTTTGGTCGAAGGCTCCGGGTGTGGCCTCGTAAAAAAACCACCTGCTTCTGTTTGGGCACCCAGGCAGTATCACAGCCCTCACACAAATCAAATGAGATTTGTGTGGCGCATATGTATTTGGTACCTCCTTGTACCAATATATATGTGTTCAAATAAATAACTAAATAATAAATTTAATCTCTTGTCAGAAATTTGTTGTTGAGTTTATTATCAAAGCTTGCTCTGGAGAACTAGAACTCAGTTTATTTTATTTTCAACCAAAGAACACGTTTTACTATGTACCAACAGTTTGTCTTTCAACTTGGAATGTATAGTCTTTTCATTTTATCAATAACATCTCTTTGGATATTGAAAATTTTACTGTAAGCGTATTAGGTATGTGATAAAAGTATATATATATATATATATATATATATATATATATATATATATATATATATATATATATATATATATATATATATATATATATATATATATATATATATATATATACCAACCAACATATTTCTCCAATCAACACTTTTTCATCGCTAATGATATTTAATTAATGAAATATTTTTATCAAACGCAATGGTTTCTTTTAATCTGTTATATGTATGTTTTTTTTACCGGAATTTCACAGACTATTTTGATCTATTGTTGCCTTATTTTCACTGAATGTATGTCAAAACATTGAACATATATCCATTAGACTGATTATAAATGGTTATACTAGCTAGTTATTAATGTGCAGTCGCCCAATGTTTGGTGGAAGTTATTATTTACCCTAATGTCCATTTGTCTTTTTCTCAATCGGATTTCGCTTGCAGGATTGTTTCATCTGATAATTAGTTTAATTACGAATGCTTTCGGAGTTAGATGTCGTCTGAATATGTGTTGTTAACCTTGACGTTTTTTCCACTTTTTTTCAACGTATTTAATAATACTCACATAGTCGCGTTCATTTTCCTGAGAAATGTAGCTATTAACCGCAGTTCTTACGGCGTTGTCAGTGCATATACCCAGGTGGGATCGCAAAGATTGGGAACAAGCTGCTGTATGTGGTGTCCTAGCGCAGTTTGAAGGCCTTCTAAGTTGTTATGGCGACGAACAAGGAATGATTGAGGATTGGGCATGGGCAATTGATTATTTGTTGACGTATCGTGTTACACTTCGTCCATCTAGTAACTTCTCTGATTCCATAATTGATACGAGTGGAAGAAATTCCGATGATACGGACTCGAAAGTTCCTACCTCGAATCTCTCTGATACTGAAGAATTTCATGTGGATTTCAAAGTCACAAGACTGAACGAATGCGAGGTATTCTAACTGATTTTTGATTATCCTATGTATTACAAATGTAACGTTTTGACTTTAGTCAACGTGTCTAAGTTTATTTTGCCATCAGTTATTGAATTTCAATATTATTTAATATTCTTGTACTTACTAACAACTGACAGGTTAAAACAATTATTATTATTTGTAGTCTTATACCGTAATAGATCGTTTACCGCCTAAGGAATGAGGTAAATTTTCTTTGTTGAGTTAGTTTCCACCCTCCTTTTTCTGGTGAAATAAGGTGATAAATTGTGCCATATGGTAGTTCGGAGTTTTGTAAGTATTCATTTAGTTCAGCAGTGATTTAAGTAACTCACATGATTTCGGTTCACTACTAGTTCATATTGATTTTATATGTGAAGAAGGATCAACCTCAGATTAGTTGATGGCATAAAATAGTTGAGCGTCTAATTGATAAAATCGTGTACATACATTTGTATGTGATTAGTTTTTTTTACATTACTATTATATTTCAAAATGAAATGATACACTTCTATCATTAATTTGTGATTCCATTGAGCTTTGCAAGTGTTATTTTGGTTGTAAAATTGCTTACTGTCTGTTCGTTTTTTCACCATCTTTTCATTTTTTTTCAGCTTGCTGTTCCTTGGAAATCATGGGTTCATGCTCCTTCGGAAATTCAAGCTCGTGGTCGTGTACGAATTCGTTTACATCCTGTCTCATTTGTAGTCGGAATCAATGAACTACAATCAGTTGCTGAAACGTAGGTGTAACCTAATTCATTTTTTCTTTATTTTCTGTTTGTTTTATTTTTCAGTATACAATATTTTAGATTCCAAAACTTTTCAGACATTTCAATATAAAATTATCGAAATTCGCATTTAATTCTTACATAAATTTAATTGTGATAGGTTTATGACGACTTGTGATATTTTTATGCTACGTTTTAGCTGTATATTTTTTTCAAATACCATGTAAAGTTGGAGATACAATAATAATTGTTCAGTGGGTATTTTAATATTTACTGTAATCTCCAGAATGTTTTTGGGAATCTGATAACTTTACTAAATGTATAATGTAACTACAGTGGTGACCCTTTGATTGAAGCACTAGTCTTTCAGTCAACAGGCTACAGGCTCAAAGCCTTTATCTTCAACGGTTTCAACCCCAGGTTTGTATCAGTAGCTTTCATGCAACCAAATCTTGTGGTTCAAAGTCGACTACATAGACCTGCACACGTTTAATTAATTACTTTAAAAGTTAGAATTATTGACTAGTCTAGATTGATCTTTCATTACGATTAATTTATATTGTAGTGGTCATTATGATTTGGGGAGTATGTGCCTGACGTGTAGATCTTAATGGTGTTATTGTAGCTAACTTTTGAAAATAAACTTTATTGATAAATTTGGCATAGCATGTAACATCTAATTGGATCCTATGCACATTAATAAATAAACTAATTCTTGGGAAAATAGATTTTACCTAGTAATTTAAATGTGATCTCACAGGTGATTGATACTTCTTTGAATTGTATTTTTTTCTGCAATATTGTGTAATATATGGGTTGATATTTGAGGGTAGGTCACAGTGATGTCTAAGATTTATGTTATTTTGAATTTATTAGCTGTATGCAAGCGTGTTTTTGGTAGCTGTCTGGATTAAGCCTACTATGCATCTACCTCAATTTCGGTGTTTTTCTTCAAGACTACTGATTCTCTACAGACACTACTTGTTCGACTGGTATAATATTATTACCGTCCTTAGTAATTATTTGTACTCTCTTATTTGTAGTTTCCTAGATAGAAAAGAAACCATCAGTTTTGTTATGTTGTGTCCTTTGAATGAACATTTTGTATTGTCCTTATTTGTTTGCTGATTGTATATTTTTCTTTGATGATAATAAATTCATGGTGTATCACAGCCCAATCAAAAAATCAAGTGACTTGTGTGTCGCATATGTATTCGGTGCCCCTTTATACCAATATTTGTATGTTGAAATAAATAAATAAAATAATTAAAATTCATGCTGTATAATCATCCGTTCAAAAAGCCATGAAACTCAGTAGAACGGAATCAATTCAGTCCTGAAAATATGCAATTTAAGTGTTTAACACCAGATATATATATGTGTAATACTTACATCGGTCTGTACATAGATTCATTATTTGTTTTACGATTGTTTTTTTTGTTCAAGTTTAGATAAAACTGCTGTGCAAAACGCGGTAAACAATCATGGCTTAACATCTTTACGCGCTTATTTCAATCGATATACAAAACATTTTGGCGCTCCAGGTCAGATATAAAATTTCTTTTACATAACTTATTAGTTTAACATTAATTAGCATATTTTACAGGTAATCAAAGTATATGTATTTTAAAAACATTTTAGCTATTACTGTGCAGTGACTGACCTTTCACCTCATTTTTTTTTAGAAAACCATATGAATAATCTTCAGTTATTTAATAGGGGTCTTTTCAATGTCATTTTTTGTTGCGGAAGTGCCATAGATAGAGAAATATTCATCAGTTATTTATGTAACGTTATATGATTTATTACCTTTATGACTATTTTATCACGATATGACAGTCGATGAGATATTTCGTGCTTATTATTTGTAAATTATTGAAGTTGTACTGTAACTTCAACGAATAATTTGGTTTTCAATCCAGTTAATTTTTAAAGCTATAAGTGTGATATATATATATATATATATATATATATCCGGTTTACTAAAATGTGACCTCTTTTAGTTTTCTATTCATCAAATTATGTAGATAAAAGTAATAGAAATACCGTTGAAATTTTAAACACAGTGCATAGATTAATAATTTAAAAACCATACATTTGAGAACAGATTGGAATGAATAAAACGTGTAACATTTATTCATATTGAATGTAAACTATAGGTAAATATGAATACGATGGCATAGAAATTGAGAATAAACTAATAGAAATCCTTCATTTTTAAAAGATGTTTGATTTCATCTGCAACTTGAAATCAATCCCAAAACATTTGTATTAAAATTTGAACTACTTGCTAGTAGTTAATAAAAATAATGTATTTATAATACATAATGAGTGAAAAAATTAAGTTTCTAAATTTTCTGACGTTCCGTTAGTCGTCAGGTTTAAATAGTACAAGTAAATTTTTGTTCTTCATCTTCAGATTACATCCATTAAATCATTATGCGTAAGAGGATTCAAGTACATATACATAGATTAGAGTAGAATCGTAGTAATTTTTAAAATTATATACATGTTTATATAATCATTTTGGGGAATCGTTTGTGTTGATAATTAAGTAGGTTTTTAATATAATATGTGGGTAATATAAAACATACCAAATGGAAATTTGTATTATTGATAACAATAATGAGAATAAAAAATCATAGAAATATTATAAATGTTTATCTCAGAATAAATGGAAAAGATTAATTATTATGGCGCACTAGTTGGTTATAAGTAGAAATAAATATATGGTTTCTATATTTTGTTGTGACAGCCAACCTTTCATTGATCTTGCTTTGTAGGGGAATATTTTCAGTTGTAGCCTAACTCGTTTTCTCTCTGACGCCATAACCACTTTTTCCCTTAAAATTTAGAACGGAATGTTTTCAATGAATACGTGTACTGCATCCATGTATTGCTCTAGTTTTGGAAATAAATTGTTAACTGATTAGAAACAGAGTATATATATGTATGTTGTGTGTTCCAAAAAGTATTTCTTTCTGAATGTCGACTATTCACTGTTGTATTATCATTTTTAGTTGTTCACAAATATATTCGTTAATTTCATACATCCTGATCGCTAAATAAATTTAAACAAAGCAAGAAAAAATATTCGCAAAATAAAATGAATTCATTATATTTCAGAGTTTCTCATTAGCTCCAATGGCCCACAATTTCAAAAGAAATATTATTATACAAGTATTATTACATACCATAATCCATGAAGTTCAGTTCGAAAGGACTTAAGAAACATAAAGAAACAACATATTTAACAAAATAGCTAAGATTGATGAGTATTTATATTGTTGAAGATGAAATCATAGAGTGCAGAGAAGTGGGAAAAGTTTTAAGTAACAATGAGACAATGAATAAAAGCAAATCGTTAACAAATGAGTGATAATCAAGGCATCTATCTAACATAAAATTAAAGTTAACGTCTTGATTGAATGTCAATGGGATTTTTTTACCAAGCGTTAAAATAATATAACTATCTTACTGTGGCAATGGTAGGTTTACCACACTTTGTTTCTGCATGCAAAAGTTAGGTCGAATGCGCTTGGTGGCAATGGCCTCTGTAAAACAGAGTAAAAGTAGTGTACGTTACCTGTTAATTATTTTGAACGCTTTTGAGTAATCCATGTTGTGTCCACTGCCCATTAAAATTTTAAAAACCGTACTTGCGAAACCTTTACTTTCTTTCATGCACAACTTACGGGGAATATGTCCCGAAGACCTTGTAGGATGCCCTTCTTTCAGTCCTTCCCATGTACTTACTTTCATAAGTACATGTAAATTCGTAAATGCATTTGGAAGTGACCTCAAAACGATATTGATCTACTTTTGGTTGATTGGTTTACGGAGCATCTAGTGTTATAAACTGAAAACAATTAAGCTTCAAGGAAGCTTATAACATTCCTTTGTAAATTTAGGCCGTTTGTAGCTGATGAGAAGCCTTGAATTATAATGAAACCATTTTATTCTGTAAGGGTTGTTCTTCTTGCTTTATTTATATTCTTTAGTGTTTAAAATTTAATATGAAGTAGTGTAAAAATCCATGGGCTTTAGATTTGATTTTTAAATCTCATGCGTAGCATACATTTACCGATTAATTGTCAATACGATTATTGAATTATATTAAAGTCACACTTTATTGCAGCTAATAACTTTCATTTTGTCAAAAGAAATGTTCATAGTTGATTATAAATAAATATGAAACCGAAAAATTTGTAAGATCATGACGATCATTTGTTTGTGGTTTACTTATTACAAAATAGTAATGATATGCATCGGTTGTTTGGGGCTTCCTATTGATGGTATATGTACATCCTCTACGGATGGTTTCGATATTATCATCAAGCCACAAATATTGTAAGCAGAGATGGATGATGATTAGCTGTGGAATCCAGGATGCGCATTTCGTTCTATCTAGAGCTTTCTCTCTCTCTCTCTCTCTCTCTATATATATATATATATATATATATATATATATATATATATAGTTTGTGAATGTGTGCACTACTGAGGAGTTCCAAACTAAAATGAAATCACTATCCAATGCTCCCTGTGTATCTGTGGTTTTCTATTTTGAATCAGTTTGTGACTTACACTCTCTTCCAAATGTTATTTTTTCTTACACACTCCACGTTATATGAATTGAAGTATTTCTTATAGTTCGTTATAATCAAATCCTGTATTGTTCATCAATAATTTTTATTCTAATAAACGAAAGGCTAAATGTTCCCAAAACGTTTTTTACGAAGTTTTTTTGTTGTTCAATGTTTAGATGATTTTTTTTTCTTTAAACTTTGATTAGAAGTTGTTGATGTTGTCGGGTAGTTCTTTATTTATCTTGTAAACATTCTAGTTTGTTTTTTTCTCTCTCTTGCTAACAAATTATTCGTGTCTCAATTCTTTTTTTTTCTTCTTTATTCTACAAAACGAAATAACTTACTCTCTTAACAATGGTTTCACATGATTTCAATTCTCCATCAATAATATTTATTACTTTTATTTAATGAAGCGTGTTTCCATCATTATATCTGTTGTAGACAAAGAAATTGTTCATTTTTCATTAAAATGTTATAAGTATAATTGAAATCCTATGAAATCTATTTAATATATCAAAACACAATATACCAATTGTAGATAATTCAGTTGGAAAAATAATCTTTTCAGTTTAATAATTTGATTACTCTAATCACAGGAATAATAACTTTAGATTGTATGTTCATTTAGTATTTGATTTATTCACACGTTTAGATAATATTTTGTTCTCATTTAGTAATTCTATGATGTGAAAAGAAGAAAAATTGTTCTAATCTGTTTAGTTTTTTTTTTCCAGTTAATTTTGTTTCCATATATTTCCGTGTTTTAAGTTAAATATTAGTATCATAACTTTAGCTTCATACTTTGGTAAATGATAGTTTGAGATTCGAAACTATTTATGTCAAGTTTAAATCTCGTTGTTAGGTAGGTAAGTAAACTATTCGGTCGATGACTTACGAATTGTTAAGAAAACTATCCTTGTGGTAATAGATTTTTAACTAGAATTAGATTTATCTATGTACTTTATAAAACATCAGTAAACATATTGATTCTGTAAATACTCCTCAAGATACTATGTGTATGTAAACTGTAACTAACTAGTTCAGAATATGTTATTGTTTTATCTGAAAACTTGGGTTTTGTCGTTTGTTCACTGAGTTTACTTGAAGCAACAACACTTACTGAATGATGTTGTCATGTAGTGCTGTCAAACTGATCTCAAAACTATAGTGCCTGTGATTGACTCCAAAATGATTGAATGATATTGATATGAATGAGGCATAATTTTTACTTGACTTTGTACGTAACCTGTCTACTCAAAACGTTTAAGACAGCAGCATATCAATAGTCAAATACGTGTTGCATTTACGGTAGGCTTATTTCAGACATGTCAGTATTGAACAATCAAACAAACTCAAACAATATTCAGCAAGTGTGTAGAACATTGGAGTTCGATTATATACTGATTCAAAGAATAACAAGGTGATTCCATTTTTATAAGTCATGTGAAAAATACAGGAAGTGGGAGGACACACACATACATGCATTAATGTGGTCAAGGTTAAACGTGAGTAGCTGACAAAGGCGAATATATGGGTGACAGAATAAATGGAAATACTGAAATAATTTTCCTTCTCACATGTTAAAACAAATCATGTAAATGCATAACAATGCCAACTACTACAACCTCACATTTCAATATTTTTTTTTCCATACTTTTTGTTTTTGAAAATTAGGTCGAACTGTTTCAAATCAAGATGTCTGGGATTTACTCACAGATATTACACATCATCTTTCTACACCTGTTCGTTCAAAACCGGTTGAAGTGTTACAGTTAGCATCAGAAATTACTCAAGCATTTCATGGTTTACGAATAACAACTTGTAAATCAGCTAAAGATCGTACAGCTATGTCTGTTACTTTAGAACAAATCCAATGGTTGAAAGTAATTTTATATCTATTGTATTTTATGTCTGTTATTCTCTTCAGTGATGTTATATTTATGACATATTAATACTGTATATATGTGACAATTAAGATGAAATATTATCATTAGCACAAAACTCCGCCATCTTGTAATGTAGAATTACCGAACAGATTATATTTAATCTTTGACTGTTTAAAAACAAAGTTATTTTCACCAGCATTAAATGAGGTTATTAGATTTTTATGATTGATTATAACTTGGCTAGTTTGTTTACTATAAAATTATTAAACTACCAATCAATATGATATACCAATATCATCTGATTTAAGAGTGATTTAAATGAGTAAACTATAAATGATTGTTTGATTATGTAAAGTAGAGTTTCATCTTTCTATTGTCCGTTTCTTTTTAGTATGGGTTTCTTATTCTTCTATTTCTACATTATCATTCTTTTATTTTAATGATCCATTATGTCTACCATGTATAGTTAATAATTGTAGTAATTTGTGTCAAAATGATGTTATTATATGTTTAGTTGTATACTTTGCTATAAACCATATTTTAGAGTTCTATAACGGATAATGATGTTAATTCTTAATTACGGTTCGACATCCAGGTTACAACAGTTACTTTTTTTTCTAACCTCTTCTGCTTGGACAGGTTATATTATAAGAAAGAATTTTTAGTATGGATGGTAGGCATTTATTCATCATTTGGATTTATTTAGTTTTATACGGATTTATATCTAGTAATTATTAGTTAAAAATAAATTGTCACATTGAACGAATATCCCATCAAATAATATTAAAGTCAAATGAAAGGAAATCACACATAAGATCAACACATGGTCCTACATTTGATTTCTTCCTAGTAAATTGTGTTTGTGCATATAACATTCCCATAAGTGACTGATATTATAGTATACATTTACAATTTGTCTATAGTTTTGTTATAAACTTCATTTATTCTCCTTATAATATGAACTTTTAATCATCTATAATAATTCAATTTGTTTTCTAATTAGTTAAAACTGTTCCACTAATTAAACATTCAATTTTCTACTAAAGTATTATGATGAAACTCACTAATTATAAGTTTATGTACTCGGCTTTAAGAGACACTTTAGTTATATGATGGATAATATTACTATCCAGCTATCTCAACCAGATACAATTGATACGGTGCTCATACCTGTCCTGTATTAGTTGAAACTTGAGTAACTATTCTTTTTTTGTGTTATAGTAATATTCACATTCGTTATTTTTAATAAATCCTTTTATGAATTCGTGTAACTTAGCAAGGAAAGATACAACGATATTTAGTGATCATGATTGTTTAGAGATTATAAAAACAAGATGAACGAATAATCTTACTTAAGAACATGTTTTTAATTCTGATCACAGATTAGTTATTTTCAACACTTAGCATTAATCAAAAACAGCCAATATTGTTTCTTCCTGTATTTTCAAATATCAATTTATGGTAAGAAGTGTTGTCTTTTCTGTCATAAGGTTTAAACTAATCTTTTTATTTCTTCAGTACTCTTAGTTTTTTTGTGGTGATTCTAAATACATTCTTACGTACATATTTAGATTATGGATTTCGGTGATTATATTATATAAAACAGATAAATTTACTTGAATTTTGTTTTCCGTTTTTTCTTTATGGAAACGCGAAGATGCTTTTCCGCTTTTCTTTTCTGTAAACACTTGTATTCGTTTTCTGCAAATGTTTGTATATTTTTGTGTGCATAACTATAAACAAAATTGTTCAACAACATAGTCATTGACAATCTATATTTTTCTTGTATATTAATAATAATACTAGTAATAATAATCCCTCATTCCAGGAAATATCTCATTTTCAAAAAGAAGATCACTTCCTTTTTCGTTCCCAATCTCCTTCTCTCTTTCTAATTTCGTATGATGTCTGTGTGTTAATTTTATTGTGTTTGTTAGTAACTATTACTACTTATCATGAGTAACCTTTTTTTCAGTTTTTTCTAAAAAAAAAAATCATTTTCAGCACTATTTTTTATCATTGAATTCATTCGTTGTCATCGTCAATTTTTGATGTAATTACTTGCCTTAAACAAAACACAATCTATCTCTCTTTATTTGATTGTATATTGAACTATGTGAAACTTTTTATGTTACATTGTTCATTCGTGGTTTGCTCTTAAATATTAAGTACTGTAGAATAAGAACACAGTCGTAATTGAACTCTTAATTTCTATAATTCACTATTAATTGGTCTGGTGATATTTTGGAATTAAACAGAACATTACTAGGAATACTTATCATATCTGTGTATGTACTTATGTATGTTTGCGTTTTTATCATTGTTATTGAGAAACACCTTGTTCAATTATTTATAGCCTTTTATTTTGGAAAAAAAAAGTTTTTTCTCCTACGCTTACTGCTATCCTTAGTAATTTTGTAATTAGTATAGTATAAGGAAAAAACAATTATTATTAAGCGAAGAAATGGAATAACGAAAAGTATATGTTCGCTTGTTTACCTTTTTTCTCAACAACTTAAATTCAAATAGATAATTAATAAAAAAAATGTAAAAGTGATTCTTTTTTCTCATTCATAAAATTGGTTCTGTTACTATGGTAATAAAACAATGTATATATCTCATTTTTCTTCCCTTTCTCTTGTTCATCGTTCATACTTTTTAATTCCATTCTGTTATTGCGTTTCTATTATTAATTTATCTTATCTATGCGTATTGTTACCTTACATATGATATGTATGAGATATAGAATCATTATGTTTTTTTTGTTGTTGTTTTAACATAGTCAAAGTTGAATGCCGGTAGTTCAACAGGAATTATTACAGTTTAATATGTTTATGTGTATTGTTTAATTTGTTTTATTCATGTAATTAAAAATTAATTAATTCATTTTCATTATGAATAATATTTCTGTTCATTTTGTATTGTAATCGCATGTGTAGCATTAATTTCTGGTCAAGTTTTCTTTATATATATAGCGTGATTTATTGAAATATTATTTATTATTTTTGGAAAATATTCATTAATGAATTTGCTTTTCTGTTGATGAATACTATCCATTATAGTTTATATTAAACACCTTCTTTACTTAGGATGTTGTTCTGATGAACTCTTTATTTAATTTTTAAAAATAGATTTCATGTTCATTTGTTAAATGTTTTTCATTGTTGTTGTTGTTGTGTATGCTCGAAACGTATGACTCAAAATCGTTTGCACAGGCGCAGGTGCATCCACTATTTGTGTTCTCCCAAATATCTAATCTTCTGAATTCTTCATGTCACTTTTTCTCTTTTCAAATTCATTTCACTGGATTATACTCCTTGACTAACATCTTCAAACCCTAATTTTTCCGATTAATGCTTATGCATTTAGTACCTGTACCACTATGGTATTTGTATCGACAATTGTATGTTAGTGCTAATGTGGTGTGGCACCTCGAACTGATGTAGGTACGTACGAAGTTCCGCGTTGTCAATGACTGACTGATTGTTATGTATGCTATGAAAAAGTAAATTCTACCTCTGTTTTTCACTGTCTCTGTTCTGTGACATTAGTATTTTGGGGTTACATATGTTTTGCAAAGTGATTAAATATTTTATGCTACAAACAACTTTTTCAGTAGTGCAATTCTGAAATAGTAATTGACAGAAGCCCACACTGATATATTCTTTCTTTTTTTTTTCAAATACATATTAGTGTAATGTATTCATAACATCTATGGACGTTATTAATCTTTTTCCGTTGTGCCAGCAGTATTTATGTACAAATTATTGGCAATCTATATAAATTGTCGATGTATCATTACTCGATATCACTCAGTGTATAGTTTAGTGTGAGTATCTTCCACTTTGGATTTAGCATTTGAATAATTGAAACAACACTCTCTGCTGGTTATCACTACTACTTAGTGACTGATCATGGTGTAGAACTTCTAAGTGATCGAACTTCTCTCTCTCTCTCTCTCTCTCTCTCTATATATATATATATATATATATATATATATATATATATATATATATATATATATATAATGGAATTAATAAAATTGTTAATTTACACTTATCGTCTACATGGCACTGGTTTTTTGTTGTTGAAAGTTTAACCATTGGCTGTTATTGCGAAAGATAGCCCCATGTTGGCTGTATGTCCTGTCTGAATTAAGTGGACTAAAATTGAGCTGTTAACAGTTTCAACTACACCTTTGCATAACTATTTTCGGAAGTGCTTACGAGCCGGAATATACAAATTCCTAGAACATCTCTTAATATAACTTGCTCCACAGGAACAGCTGAATTGATAGAGACAGAAAGAGGTGGCTAGTGTAGTCAATTTATCTTTCAGCCTCAGAGTGATCATTAGACGTGTGGGAAACATTATATGTAGTTTATTTATTTATTTATTTATTTGAACACATGAATATTGGTACAAGAGAGCGCCAATATATATGCGCCACACAAAACAATGAGAATTCGAAGAGAAAAAAATGGTAAGGGGCGTAAAAAAAGAGAACAATAACGAAGAGATTGGTGTAAGGTAGTGTAGTAATAATAATAGTAATAATGAGGGAACGGAAAGGTACAATCAGAAGAAATCTTTCAGGTAAGGAGACACAACCACTTTTTATGAAGAAAGTAAAAGAAGGTTACAGCAGGATCGCCACTGGCTTCTATTCTGAGCCATATCTGATAACGTCTCTAGCCACTGTGTAGCACCATCTCTCGGACCCCAACCAGGGAGTCGTGAAGGACCAACACAAGCCAGTCCTTTGCAGCTTTCTTTCATGCCACGACACCATGTCATGCACTGACCACCTCTCCGCTTCTTCCAACCAGTCCCAGAGTCGGCAAATAATGCACGACGTGGAATTCTCTGGGACGACATTCGGAGAACATGTCCAAGCCACCGAAGTCGGTGTTTCAAGATGGTGACACCAATTGAATTATCATCTCTGTGCCCGAACACACGATGCCGAACCTCTGCATTACTGACATGGTGTTGCCACTGAATGTCAGCAATCCTTCGGAGACAGCGATGATCGAACACAGAGAGTCGTCTAACGTCCTCAACTCGGAGAGGCCAGGTTTCACAAGCATAGAGCAAAACTGCTCTCACCGACGCGTTGTAGATCCGACCTTTTACAGCCAGACTAACATCACGAAGGCGCCAAAGGTGGCCCAGATTGGCATAAGCCGCTCTGGCTTTCACTATTCGTGCATTGATCTCATCACTCACACCCCCACCAGCACTTATGCAGCTACCCAGATACACGAACTTCTCAACTACGTCTATCTGCTCACCATCCAGGGTGAGTACAGGATTAGAATCCTGCCAGTCTTGTAGAAGTACTTTGCACTTCGAAGGTGCAAAGCACATACCATACCTACGGACACTGATTGCCAACTGATTAAGTGCGGATTGCATGCCTTGGGCATTATCGCACAGTAAGACAATATCGTCCGCATACTCAAGGTCGAGAAGTCTTTCTCCAGGCAACAGATCCACACCACCATTACTTACATTCATCAGAGCTGTTTCCAGAATGTCATCGATGGCAAAGTTGAAGAGGAATGGTGAGATTGGGCAACCCTGCCTAACCCCACTGCTCGAATGGAACAATGGAGAGAGGTGGTTGTATGCCCTCACTCTGCCTGAGGTGTTTTTATATAGGGCTTTTAGGATGTTAATAAACTTCTCAGGCACACCCTTCTTCAATAGACAATCCCAGAGAACAGTCCTGTCCAACGAATCGAAGGCAGCCCTGATGTCAAGAAACACTACGATTGTTGGCCTTTGATAAGTATGGCGGTGTTCTAACATTTGGCGGAGGGTGAAGATATGATCAATACATCCTCGACCAGAACGAAACCCAGCCTGCTCCTCGCGAGTCAATCTTTCTCGGGTTTTGAACAACCTACGAAGTATGACGGAAGCCAATAGCTTGGACGCAATCGGAAGTAACTTATCCCCCGATAGTTGTTACAGGAACGACGTGAACCCTTTTTAAAGATAGGGACAACTATCGACTCATTCCATGACGTTGGTACACTCTCTAGTTCCCAAACCTTTGTAAACAACGTCGTCAATTCCTTAGTCAAAAAGTCACCACCATCTTTAAAAAGAGCCGGAGGTAAGTCATCTGGGCCAGGTGATTTGTAACGCTTCAAGAGTTGGAGTTCCTTGCGGACTTCCTCCTCGTTTGGTGGATCAGTCGTCACCGGCCATGGAGGGCAGGACAGTCTGACCGATGTTGCCGGAGCAGCAGGCCAGTTGAACTGCCCTTCGAAAAATTCTGCCCATCGTCCAAGACGTCGATGGATGTTAGTGATTGGCATCCCATCATCCTCGCAGATTGTTTCACTCACACCAGACTTCTTGCTGCCAGTGGCTCGGATGAGCTGGAAGAGCTTCCGGTAGTTACCAGATGCAGCTGCTGCTTCCAGCTCATTAGCACGCTTCGACCACCAGGCTTCTCGGTCCTTACGCAAGCTTTGCCCAATTTCCTTACGTAACATCCTTCGTTTATGGTCAAACTCACGGTCACCCGGAGTAGACCGACGGGCTTCAATGAGTTGTAAGGAACCAGAAGAAACCCAGTGCTTAAAGCGGGACGTTTCGCAAACCCACAACTGACTGTTCCCGCCATTTTCATGGCGTCATGCAATTGCAACCAATGCTCATCTATACTTTTCGGTGGAGTGGTAGCTAGCCTAGAGGCTAGCTCGGTTCGATACTTACTTGCAACAGAAGTTGCAACCAGCTTGCTAACATCAATCCGTTGATGGCGTCACTTCGTTGTCCACTGAAAAGTAAGGCAAGATTGGCGCAGACCAAGGCATGGTCAGAGTCCAGATAGGTACTCCAAAAGGAGCGGCAGTCTTTTACACAACCACGCCAGCGGTAGCTGATCGCGATGTGATCAATCTGAGTCCAGGCTTGAGATGCAGAGGGAGGACGCCAGGTGGCACATCGGCGATGACTGTGCCGAAAGTTAGTGCTAGCCAGAAACAGGTTGTGGTCTGTGCAAAGTTGCAGTAGACGGTCCCCGTTATCTGACCTGCGACCAACGAGTCCCCATCGGCCACCTAAACGACTCTCTTCTGTGCCTAGACGCCCGACCTGAGCATTCAAGTCTCCGGCTAGTACTACAATATCTGTCGAACGCACTTTCTGGAGAAGAACAGATAACTGGTGGTAAAACTCATCCTTGATTGCATCCGGGCTGCAATCTGTCGGGGCATAGGCGGAGATGACGAAAAGACATCGTTTCTCACGCCGATTTCTTCTCACTTTGATGGAACTTTCTAATCTAACAGCACATAACCGACTGTTAATGGGGATCCAATCGACTAGTGCTGCCTCAGCTCTAGCGCTTAGTGCGACACCAACGCCAGCAAGACCAGACGAAGATGCCACAGGGTCCCCGGATAAGCGCACGTAAAACAAGCTTTTCGAAGCGACAGATGGAGATCGAATTTGTAGTACTTCGCCAGAGTCTTGAATACGGGTCTCGGATAGACAACAAACATCGATATTAAGACTTTCCAAAGACATAGCCAGCCCTATCTGTTGTCCGACCTGCATAAATGTGCGAACGTTGAAGGCAGCCAGTTTGAATGGTGCACGTGGTTTCAAAAACACTGCTTCAGTCTCGTATTCGGTGGTAACATACAATTTTCAACCGGACAGTGACTCGAGAACGTTTAGATACAGTCGAATTTCCACCAAAGACGAGCCGCTGTATAAGTATAAAAGAGGGTGAATAATGTGGAAAATAATAATAACAATAATAGTAATAATAATAATAATAGTATTAATAATGACAATAATTGTAATGATAATAATTTGAATCAATTGATTGTTTTTCGAAGCGAGAAAAGTAATTTCCATAGACATAAAGAGTTCATCATTTGTGTGTGGGCTGTGATACTGCCCGGGTGCCCAAACCGAAGCAGGTGGTTATCTTAGGGGGCCACACCCCGAGCCTTTGACCTAAAGGTCTAACCCACAAGGCAGTGGAGCATCGTAAGGAGATGCAATCCCATGGTAGCCGGTGACCAACGATTGGTTCATACGCCATTTGTTCCCGCAGGATACTGGAGCCCATGTGCACCATTGGTTTGGAATCCGGTTAAAGCGCCGGACATTCGCTTTTCGTCCTCTCATTTTCGTAAACACCCCCGCCACGAGAAGGCAATGAGTAGGACTTCCCTGGCAGAGGCTGTATACGCGTGGCCGTGTGAGAGTATTTCGAGAGGGAGAGCGGACTCTCTCCACTCTCGGCCGTACCAGGGCATTAGGGGTCAATTGTAGTTTACCTGCATTAAAAGTTGTTTGGATTGATCTGTGTAACTCCAGTCTTAGAATTACACTAGGTGCATCTCCTCTGAATTGTAAGCGTATGTACAGAGGTGTTTTGTTCACGGTTAGACATTCCCTATGCTCTCTTTTAACGGTTATGCTTTCATCTATAAATTTCTCCGGATATCCATTTCCTTTCACAGACGTGTACAAAGCCTTTGTTTCGTCTTCGACTGCATCTAGAGAGCATATGGTCTTGATTCTATGGTACAGTGTCTTAACCAGGTTCCTTTTTTACTGTAGAGGAACAAAACTAAGAGAATTTGTATATTGGCCCGTCCAAGTAGTTTTCTTGTTTATGTTTCTTCTTAATGACCCATCTATTCTCCTTGTAAGTAGAATATCTAGAAAGACTATTCTATCTCCATTCTATTCCTCACATGTGAATTTTATGAACGGATGAACTGTATTGAATCGCTCAAGTGTTTTTTCTATCAAATATAGTCATTACAAGGGATAAATCTATCGTCCATATATCGGCAGTAAAATGAAAGCTTGTCAATCTGTTGTGCTAGTGCGTTGTTTTTCCAGTTTAGAGAGAAAAATATCAGTCAATATGCGACCTAGTTTAAATCGACTGTTCAGTGAATAAATAATTTTTTAACTTTAATACAATGAACTAAAACAGATCACTAAGTAAATACGAACATGTCTTATCACTTCAGTTTGGTTAAATGTGGGTCTATGCTCAACTATTTTTGGTTCAGTATTGATGTAAATGCAAGTGAATAATTGTAATGATCTTATTTAGCTTGTACTTATTTTTATGGTGTAATATGGAATAGGTTGATTAATAGCGTCTTCAACAGATTTCTTAGTTCTACTCATTTGAGTATTAAAAAATATATGTGAAATTATTATTATTCATTCATTCATATTCTGATCTAATTTGAATTGTTAAGTTAAATCTTTTCCATAAACTTATTTGTCAGAAATGCTGTTTCACTAAACTTTTAGTTACCAAAATTAGGATAAGTGAAGCTTTACATTTAGGTTTCGTACATTGAACAGTTAGATATATCTGGTATCTTCAGCGAATTTGTATTTTAAATCATCCATCAATTTATAATAAACACATTGTTTTCTAATTAGTCTTGTACTCATCTTTTCCGTATGTAAGGACTGTTCATATTCGAACCTATAATATGGAACCAGGGTTTCAAGCTTGTAAGTATTGTATCATTAATTTTGTTTGAACTGATATTGTTACTAATCCTACAGTATCTGCAGTTGCATAGCTTTTCAATTATATGTAGTGTATAATAAAGAGATGTTTGTTGATAGTATCAACCATGATTTGTTTCATCTCAATGACGTAAATTTTCTCTTGTTTCTACTTTTTTTTTATATTTTTCAAGAGTGAAGGTATGCATGAAAGTTGTTTTACTAAAGCTCTTCAATGTATTCGAAGCACTGGTCTACGTCTAGATAATGTAATGAAAAACACTGGTAAACGTAAATATGCGTTCAATCGTCTCCAGCTATTATCATTTCCAAGATTGTATAAACCACCAATGGGAACATATTCTACAAATGTATCATCTTAATATATATCGTCGATAGTAGATTTATTCAACAATCAATTTGATTTATTCGACACTGATTCTTATTTTTCCTATAGACTTTTCTCTATTTTCATTTTATCATCGATGAAAACGAAAAAGAGATTCATTCTTTCTTTTGATATTTGAACAATCAATTTATCTTTAAGTGGAGTATAAGTATGTTTCAATATTATTATTATTATTATCATTACTATTGCTAACAAAATACTAAGGATAATAATTTATTAATGATAACTGACTTTATAGTCACGTTGATTTCCGTTTTCCAATTTTCGTCTTTCCTAACCTCATTCCTTTGTGTCATTGTGCTTTGTAAAAATAAAGTCTCCTTTATTCATTTCATAAAAATCTTATTCATTATTTACTACTAATTTTGATTGTATAGTTGTATTCATACTGTTTCTTTGATAATTATGATGACAATAATGATTGAATTCATTTACATCAATTAATCTATACTTTATTCATTGATGTATATTTATTATATCTTAAGAAATAGTTCTACTTTATCTCACGCAATGTGTAATTAATGTCGGTAACTACTGCTCTTAATATGTTGTGCATATATGTATACATAAATCTATACATGTTGAGACGACAAGTTTATATTGAGTTCATTTTTATTCTTTCTTCACAACATAATGTAAGTGTATGTGTTTGTGTGTAAGGAGAAGATGAACTGTTGTTAAACAATATGATAAATATTTAAATGTACAATAATTTCTCAATTGTCTCCAGTTCATGATTTTAATACAAGAAACATTCTTAAATCATCTTTGAGAATTTTTATTTATTTTTGCTATTCTATTGAATGTAAACGATGACGTGACTAGATGTTAAATTATATAGTGTGAAGTTATTAATTATTCAGAATGATATTTTAGTTTTTCGTTTTTTTTGCTTTTTTTTGTTAAGTAAAATACATTTTTCTTTTAATATCGAAAATATTGGACATATGTTAATGAACATAAAAGAAAACTACATAAATGATGAAAAATTACCAGATAATTGTAACTATGAAGTTGAATAGAATAATGTCAAATGTATTCAAGTATAGAAATCTCTAAACATTATAGTCGGGAAATAAAATATAAAAAAAAAAACAGAAAGAGAGATTAACTGAATCAATGTGGTGAAGAGAGTGAATTTTTCAGAGAAATGTGCTAGATTACTGGTTGTTTCATCAGATTGTCAAAGTGAAAATGATAAAAATAAAATTGAATTACAAGTATCAATACTATTCGTAATGAATCTTGTATATTAGGTACCTCATTAGAAGCGTCATTATTAAATGGAGAAACGCAACATGAGTTATGACAAACCACAATAACTCGGATGTAGCGAACTATACATGACTAAGAATTTTGGAAAATAATGATAATCCGAGCTGTTAAAAGGGCATACCATATTAAAAATAAATGAGGTTGACCATCGTAATAAGACTGAGGATGTCGTTGAAGATGAAGGTAAGTACCAAACAATAAGAAGTAGTTCGTTTAAGAATTCAGGCAGCTAGTTTGAAAGAAACTCATCAAACACAGGATAAATAACAAAAAAATGAACAACCTCAAGTAAAACGCTGTGGGCTTATACTCCTTCAGTTTCATGGTGGATCAAATTGTGTAAATCAGATACTTTCCTGCGTTCAGTGTTTTCGGATTCAAAGACTAATTTTCGATCTAAGTGGTATTTATTTAACTTTATAGATTTTATGCGATTCATACACAATATACTAGTATTCTTAACGATTATAACCATGTTTGCCTCCATTATTAGATATGATCATTTGAATACTGTTTTTGTTAGACTGACTGATCAAAACCATACCATACAAAATACCCAAATTTATTTAAAACAACTAAAAAATTGATGGAATAGTAGGCAAAGTGGTGACAGAATATAGTTTTGAAGGCAAATTATTTATCATTTATATCTTCGATTGTCTGATCAGTTACCATTCTCGAATGAGCTGATCTGAAGCAGCACAAGAGAAGTGGGATTTTTAGTACATTGAAAGTCAACCCAAACTGACTAAATTCTCACTTGCAGCAGTAACATATCAATGACTCAAAACACTAGTTAAATGCGAAATTTAATTGAGACACACCTTTCTTAAGGACAAATGAAGAGTTCCTATGGGTTGTCTTTCATAGGGATGAAAGTTCATAAATTTGCTGAAAGAATACTTATGAACCGCATCAAGAAAGAAAATCAACCGTGGACAATAGGTGATGAATAATCTCATAGGAAACATTTGAATCTAATTCAGTGTATGTGTTTATAAGAAAGTAATCACTTTTTAGTTCCTGTAAAGTTATTCAAAAGTATATCTATCATACCATCTTCAGACGAAAATTATAGTCTTAGCTTAAGAAGGTTCCATTTTAGCACACTTAGTTCAAATGAACTAAAAGCCCAAGAAATAGCTACTTAGGTTTTTGAAAACTCTTCTATTAAGTTAACTACATTGTCTCCATAACTGATCGATCGTGTTTACCGTAAGGTAACCAAATGTGCTTATTTACTCCCACTCTACATTTGACTCAACTTACATCTATCTGATTTAATTATTTTTCTCTGTGTCGGAGTATAAGTGCATTCCATTTTCTATCTTTCAGTAAAAATCGATTCATGCATTATGTAATCTCACCATAAGTTTAATATTATTCTCAGTTATACAATTATTCCATCTAACCTAGTCTACTAATACTTATTTTGATTAATAATAATAATAATCTTTGCCCTGGTAACATTACCCCCCTTTTTATCTTTTATTTATTACGTCATTTCAACTGTCTGAATTTTATAATTACATCATTCATAACTGACCAATTTCAATTCGTATCTCTCTTTATTAACATTAATCTATTTTCAGTTACCTCATTGCATGGTAATCTAATATGTTCTAATTCCATGATTTCTAATCACTATTTCAATTTTCTGGAACCTTCCCTCCCAAACTCTATATATTCGAAACAAAAATTTTATGACCTCATTAACTCTAACAAAATCTTTGCTACATCATGTTACATATATTCATCCTTCATCGACCTCTGTTGTATAAGTATGTCAATATATGTAATAACCCTGATTTTCAAATATTTTAGGTTGTAAGCAGCTGATGAGAACCTAACGAAATAAAATGAATTCATATTATTCTGCACCAATCTGTTATGTTTCGTTATTGCTTGAATGCTATTACTGATGCGCCTTACTCGAACGAACGAAGGATCAATGATTCAGCGACTCGATAGCTACTCTGGTTCGTTGTCCCCAACTCTGCTAACTCGACCAAGAAGTCTGGGTAAGGTGTAGAAAGTGTATTCTACAGACAAACAGCAGATAACAAGTCAAATCAAACACACAAATCAAGCGTATTTATACAATTATTTACAATCGATATTGTCATAAAAATTTTTTTGAACATTAATCAACGAGTTCATTAATTGACCTATTTGCGCATTTAATCGATAGTTCATCAATTGACCCCAATAAAAAATATCTAACATTTAATCAATAAGATGATCGATAAGATAAATTTTAAAATATGAGCTTGGGGATCTATCGTCCCCAACACAACCTCTGTTCTTGCTCTCTTTAAAATAATAAAGGGAACTATGTGTATGAAATAATCTGAGAATTTGACCCACAACTCGATTCATTCAGTCATTATGTGTTAATCATTTTGATATCTATTAAAGTTGACAAAACTACATTAATTTCAGTCAATTCTTAATCCATAATCTGTGTTCAAAGCTGGATCGTACAGTTTATGGTATTTATTTGATATCTAACAAAAATTCCCAAAAGCGCATTATCTATTGAATCATTTCCATATTTTCTGTCATTACTATCCAGGATTGGATTATTCAATAACTGTTGAAACTTGGCTCTTTGAACAAACTTTCCTCAGCAGTGCGCATCCAGGACCCTGCTCGCGGGATTCGAACCCAGAACCTATCAGTCCCGCACGCGAGCGCTTAACCTCTAGACCACTGAGCCGGCGTCCAACAGTGTTAATGTCTAACTTCAACTAATCCATGAAATTGAGCGACACATCCATCATTGTCATCAGTGAGTTACTATCTCACAACAAGCCTGGTTGAACTCCACTGATTATTTGTTTGTTAGTTAATGCACTTAAATACATTCAACTTTATAAAGCTTACTTCATATTTGTAATAATCCACTTATCTATGGGCCTAATTTCCTATATATCTACTTGTATAATATACTTAGTTAACGTTAGCTTATAGTCTCTCTCAGTACGATATGAAAATGTAGTACGTAAATTTATTTTGTTATATTTATTAAATATTATATGCTTTAAATTCAAAGCATTACAGGGCTTGTTCCAATGAATTTGCTCCTATTCAATTGGAAAAATCATCTCATCGTTTTGTAGTCATTATTACTCTAATTATAATTAAATTGAAATGCTCAACATGCTACGTTGAACAGAAATTTATTACGGAAATTTTTAATATAAGTGTATATCATTAAATTACTAACTTCTTGATATCCAGAAAGATAAATTCACGAACTAGGTTAACTTTGTCATTCTTTCAATTTGCTATCAATGATATTCTAAGAACAGTTCTCATAGTAATGTCAAGTGACATTATAGATCCATTGCTTCCAAATATATATGATGTAGGCTATGAAAATTTTGTCGAGATGATAGCAACCGATGGTAAGAGACCCTGAATGGCGCAGGTCCATACACTCTTTATGTTCTCCCAAATTTTGATCTCCTTATCCCTCCTTGTCTCTTTTTTTCTCTTCCCAAATTTATTTCACTGGATTATACTCTTTAAGTAATATCTCCAAACACTGATCTTCCCGATTACTGCTTATACTCTTATTACCTCTACCACTACGGGATGTGAATCGACCACTGCATCTCTGTGCTAATGTGGTGTGGCAACTCGAACTGATGTACGTACGTACGAAGTTCGATGTTGTTACTGACTGACTGACTA